TGCACATTAAACTTGTTAGAAGACGGTGCCACACCCACTTTTTGAAAAAATTTTATCCACAGGTGCTCCTTGCTACTGCGATTCCCTGTGTGAAAAATGAGTTCTATATCTTAATTTAGTGCTTAGTTATGACACTTTATAGGTTTCGGTTAATGACAATTTGTGGGCGTGGCAGCGGTCTGATTACGCCCATCTATGAATTCGATTTTTTTTTTGTACTAACGAACCCACGTAAGTAGTTCCTTCAAGATATCTCAATTTTTACTCAAGTTACAGTGAAACGTACAACCGTTAGATGAACAAAACTATAATATTCTGTAGCAACCAGTTGCAAGGGTACAAAAATGTGAATTCGGCTGCACTTCAGCTATAATACCCTAAATAGAAAAAGAGTTGTGCCTCACATCAATATCTCAAAAATTCCGAAACTGAGATACTAAAACGTGTACACAAACTTCGTGGCAAACATAATGTACCATATATAGGGTACAAATAACACTTTGACAGGCAATGAACCAATAGCGCTGATATGATTGCAATTGCAGCTCTATTATGTAAGCTTTTGTTTATATTTATGCTGCACCCTGCACTGCAAAGTTGTGGGCGGCATGGCCAGTAAATGATTGCAACATAAAAGAGTGAAGCAAAGATGTAAAATAAATTGAAAGTAAATTGAGATCGCTCGGCGATTGTGCCGTTTGTGTGGCAGACAATGTTGCGATTTTATTGTGGCATTTGTTGGCGATATTTCGAATACAAACGTTTTTATTACTTTCAATGCTTGAAAATGTTGCACAACATTTTTATTTGGCTTTAAAGTAAACCATAAATTTTGTGCTAATTGGCCGCAAATACATATGAAAACACTGCATATACTTTCACAACGTGCACAGAAATCTCCGAACACATACTCATTATACAATATTCACTAGATTCGAAATCTTATTTTTTCTGTGTTCTGGCAGCTCAGTAGCTTTCAAACTTAACAAATAAATTCTCATATATTTTTTGTTGCACTTCACTTTTGCTGCTTAATTGACGCCTGCCTGCTCAAGTGACAGCCAATTGAGCGCTTGCGAATTTAAGTGTAATCACCAATTGTTGCAGTTACAGTTGCAATTGCAATAGCAGGCAAGTAGGTCAATTAATTGATGAAGTTTGCAACAAATGCACATATTATTGCCACAGATATTCAATATCAATTTAAATATGCATTTATTTGGTTTTAAATTACTGCTTATCTTAATTTGATTGGTGGCGGTCAACAGTACTGCGAGCAATGATTGATGTTACATGTTTTTCAAGTGTGAAAAAAAATTAGTACTTTTATGGGAGAGAAAAGGACATGTGCAAAATCTCAAAACGATAGCTCTACGGGGTTCATGCGATATAAATATGTTGTTAGCTGATGGCTAAAATATAATTAATATATTAATTAAATGTTGAGTAGTCGAAAAAGTCTTTTTGTATTTTTAATCAAACTTCAACTTATTTTTTTTTATATTTATAATGAACTTTATTGAACCATTTTTTTCGCTAGAGACATTATTCTATCAGTCCAACAGAAACTTTTCTGGTTTCTCGTCGAAAAGATGCAACAAGTTATTTTCACAAGCTTCTCTTGAAGTCAACTTTATTCTATTAAGGGAGCTCTGCATTGACCGACAAAATTGGTAGTCCGATGGTGCAAGCTTAGGGCTATATGGTGGATGCATCAGAACTTCCCAGCCAATCGCACCTAGTTTGTGATCTAATGTTGTCCTGATGGAAGACGAAACCTTTTCTGTTTATCAGTAAAATGTAAAATCAATCGTTCGACCAGGCTGGAGCAGCTGATGGACGGATGATTCCTTTCCAATCCCGCCAAATACTCAGCATGACCATTTGTTGAGCTTCACCACGCTTGGACCTTGATCTTTTTCCAACATTATTATCGCATTTGATCGACTTTTCTAACACAAACATCGAGCTTCTTTTTGTAGCCATCCTTTTTTAAATGGTTCAAAACCGTTTGATGATGAGTGTTAAGCTCCTTAGCGATGTCATGGCTGCTAATGTGATGGTCCTAACCAATCTTTTCCATAATTCCGAAGTAAATTTTTTTTTTTTTTTGTTAAATGAAGTTTAAAACCTCACCATTCAAACACTATATGGTACGACACAATGTGATTGGCAGCACAGGAGATATACGACTTCAACATCTATTGACAAAATACGAAAAGACTTTTTCGACTACGGCTAAAAGAATATTGTTATAATTAAATATATACGTAAAATATACAAATAAAAGAAAAATCGATAACAATTTCAACTTTTATAAAAAAATCGAAACCTATCCCAATATGCGAATTCAGCCCTCAACACTTCACTCAAAAATCAAGCCATGACTAGCAAAAGATTGCCGCATGGCCCAGATAACATCAACAACATAGAGTCCGAATGCAAGTACTTAATTTACCGACAAATGTGTCAGTACTATTTATACCACGCACGTCAGCGCTTGCTAGATTGCAGCATCTACACCTACCATTAGCAACACTAGACATGACAACCATCTAAATTGACATTAAGCCTCTAATAAAATGACGTTTGGTTGTCATTTTCTCGGTGTAAGTTTTTGGATGTGGAAGTGTCATTATTTATTTATTTATACATTCCTTCAAATGACGCATGCAAATTGCGAAATAAGTGAAGCGAGCATGACAGCGCGCTAAAGACGGGAGCGCACGCGTGTGAGGTGTGTCTGCCTGTGTGTCTGAAGAAATTGCTCTTTAACTAATTTATGCGTAGCCTGGTGTATTTCGTGCCATTTTTGTTACACCAGCGTGAGAAATGCTGATTGCGCCAGTGACGAAGTGCAGATAAACATGTCGTGAATTTTTTAGTAAAATTTCAGTTGTTGCTGGAGCTCGCTATTCTTATTGGCAATGTTTTGTTTAAATAAATTAGCAGATGGACTCGTGCAATAAATGTGTAATTTTTGCTACTGCAACAACAACCAAGCATTTCGGGCATAAACAAAGCTCGAGTTCGAATTCCAAGCCTTTTAAAGCATTTAAAATTTAATAAGTAAAAACAAAACTAAGAAAGCAGCAATTAGCGTTGCAGGCCAGGCACACGCACAAGTCCACACTCAAATGCTTGCACGCGATTCGCTACACATGCACACATAGTTGCAGTATGCACGCCACGTTGCAACTTCCTGCGGCAAGTTAGCGCTTTGTTTGCCATTCCGCCATCTTGTAATACACACTCACACACATTTACATACACGCCATCGCTTTGAGCTTGCATAGTTGGCTCCCATGCAAATGTCTGTCCTTGCTACAGCAATGCTTACAACTTTGCCGGCCGTCTTGCCACTTAGTACACCAAGCAGCACATCCTGTTTCCGGCGTCGCCCAATTTTCTGCAACAGACAACCAAACGCTTCTCGGCTCTGCGCTTGAACTTACAAGTTCTTCATACGCCATTCTAAAAGATTGTTTGAAAAGTTGCCAACTGAGCGTGTTTTTATTGTTCCTGCAGCGTTGCAGTACATGTCAAAGGTGTAGAGTTCACATGTAGCGGATTTTCTGATTGAAGGCGCGCATTCTAGCTAAGATGGATGCATGTGTGCCAAAGACAGTTCAAGGTGAAGCTTATTGTTGGAGCAGAGGACGTTTATATGGTAACTAAGTACTCCGACGATTGGAGGCCCTTAATTATGTCAATCATTAATTGCGGTGATGTAATAGTGTCTCAGGAGCTTCGCTTGTAGAATTGAATCATACTTAAAGTAGAAAGTGAATAAAATGATTTATTACGAAGGACGCTTTGTCGTAGGGTTGCTCCAAAATCAATGGATCTTCCTTATTTCCTTACTGGCGAAGAAACCGCTTACGCGGTTATAGCCGAGTTAACAACCGCGCGCTAGTCGTTTCTTTTTTCGCAAGGTGGCGCCAATTAGAGATTTCAAGCGAAGCCAGATCCTTCTCCACCTAGTCTTTCCAACGGAGTGGAGGTCTTCTTCTTCCTCTGCTTCCCCGGCGGATGCTAAGTCGAATACATTCAGACCTGGAGTGTTTTCGTCCATTCGTACGACTTGACCTAACCAGCGTAGCTGCTGTCTTTGAACAATGTCAATATCATCATATATCTCATAGAGCTCACTGTTCCATCGAATGCGATATTCGCCATTATGTACAACTCCGAAGTTATGACTGTCAATAGTAACGTGGTTGCCTAGTCGCGAGTGCAACGACTGTTTGTTTGATAACAGGAGATATTTCTAGGATGGATCTCACTCGAACAAATATTTGTCCTTTGTACCTCACAGGTCGACGATGCGTTTTGAGTTTACGATAAATTTACTAAATCGATTACCAGCCACTTCCCTACGTTCTTCAAAGGTGTGTCTACCGAAATATTTCAATCTCATCCTCAGTGACAATATGATTCCACTTCGCCTTCCTCCAAGCATCTTTGGCAAAATATTGACTCGTAGTTTTTTAAGTCAGAACGCCTACAGTTGCCAGATTGACTTTACTTAGTGCAAATAGTGCGGAGAACCCTCTTATGGTTCACTTTGGGCTGGAAGGATCTCTCAGCCGCTCAAGTGCTGGTTGTTGACTAGCGCCTATCAAGCTCTATAAATACCGCCTAGGTAATACGTGTTAGTTTTTGGGATCGATCCATAACGCCATACGTAAAGCCTAAATTTTCGTATCGTCAAGTTGAATTAAGATATGTGTCTTTATGTACATAAAAGCATATAACCCCTCAAATCAAAAGCAGCTTTCTTTACTTTCAGTAGGCAACAAAGCGCACGATTTATAAACACAACTGAATAGTATTTAATTTCAAAGTCTTATATTCATACACACTCGTCGAATGTCAAACCACTTGACCTTGTGACGAGTAGTTTTCATACACATGCACACTTTTACAACAAATCTAATACATTGAGGACATAAAGCATTAAGCATAGAAAACTTTTATTTAAGTTGCTGAAAGCTTACCTTGCACACAATTCCTTTCCCCGCGCCCTTAACTTGCTCTCAATACCAACATTCCCGATTTCACAGCAGCCAATTTCGCCTGTTCCGTCCGCCCAACAGGCGGTATTGTCATTCAGCTTAATAATAATGCCAACTTTTTCACTTTTATTACACGCTTTACCGTTGCTGCCCGAATGTCTGGAGGCCGCTGACGCGGTCGAGGTGGTGGAGGAGGTGGTTGACGTCGTCGATGATGATGATGATGATGAAGATGAGGATGTGCAAGTTTTAGTTGCCTTCGCACGCTCGGCTTTATTAGTTGCGTTGCCATTTGTGGCATTGTGCCCGAAACCGGCAAACTTCTTATGCGCGCTGAAGCTGCGGCGTATCGATTGAAAGCTGTGACGCAAGAATGACTCGCGTTTGAAGTCATTTTGTTTGGATTTGTTCGATTTCCCTGTAGGCGGCGGTGGCGCCGCCGGGTCTGGTGGCGGCCGCGTGCTTGTCATTGCCGCACTTGGCATCGATTTCGGACGCACATGCATTTCACTCACCACCCCCTCCATAATAACGGAGGGATGTCGCAGCAAAGCACGGTAATCCTCTTCCTCGTCCGAATTGGTCCTGTTCGCTTTGCATTTTTGCGCTTTCGCCTTTGTTTTATTTTGTTCATTTTTGGCACTTGCTGGTAGTTTTACGTTCGCAGCGTCGAGTAGCAGGGCGTCTATATGGCGAAAACTAGTAAAATTCTCTGCGCGCTGCTTAAACTTCTGCGGCAGCGCATGACTTTTTAGTGATTTATCGATGAAGCTGTACGACTTGATGAGAAACAGTTTGGACTCATTTTTCTGCGCGTTTAAACGCTCAATATGCGAGTCCGAACTATTGCGCGGCAGCGACACAATGTCAACGGGGTTTTGTAAAGCGTTGGACATGTTTAATTTGCAGTTTTTGGTATTAGGCGTTTCTGTAGTTATGAAACAATTCAACGTTGCTGCTTGGCCAATCAAACTGTTTACCATTGGCTGTCAAATTGTGGTTTATGAGTTTATTTATTATAATTTATTTGAATTTTTTTATTGAATTTTTATCGAACTTTGGTTTTCACTTGTTTAATTAGGGACGTCTGAGCTAATTAAACATGATAAACACGCGCCGACGACGCGGTCGATCGAGCAGTCGCACCAATTCTTAGGCAAGCAACGCTGCTTTTGTACACGCGCGCTGTCTAACACACACACACGCACTCAACGGCGATCAGTCGCTTTCACGGCGCTTTGGCCTGCTAACAGCTGGGATTAACTAATGGGCGCGCGGCGTGGAATTGCGCGCTGCTGTTTGCTTATATGTCCGTTGCAGCGCGCTCGATTAGTCAACTGACAGCTGGCGCTTTATGGATATGCATAGTCCATATTTTACATATATATAATAAATATATATATATATATTTACACATATACTATATAAGTAATGACATTGCCGATTTCTTATTTTAGTTGCATAGTTTTTATTGTTATATAAATCCGTAGTTACGAAAACTGTTTTATTTTATTTTAATTTTCTGTTATTTCTATTCTCTTTTGTTTTGATTTTGGTTTCTCCACACAGTTGTTCACTTCTGTTGTTGTCGACACGGCATCAGCTGTTTTCTAACACCAATTAAACGGGTTTGACGTAAGCGCATACGTTGACAAAAACAAGCTTTCTTCACACGTTTTGCCGAATATTGCCAAGACTTTGCGCGATGACACACTGCTGTCATTTTATTGTATTAACAAAACTAACGGTAATTTATGTATGTATGTACAAACATCACACTTGATTTCATGCAATATCATGACTGACGTTTATTTTAAGATTTTAATCGGAAATTAATACATGAGAAACCGAGTAATTTTTCGCTAAATAACAACTATTCGCCACAACTATTTTGCTACGGCTTTACAATGAATAATAATAATAATTGGAGTCGTCGTACTACTCGCCGTTGTTCCGTCACCGTCATGCGCCGAATTCGCACTGAAGCCACAGCGTTGCTATCGCCAAGGTTCGAGCAAGGGACGCGTCATATGCCGGCGCTGTTGGGCGCGTTTGCGCGACGCCAGTGTTGATTTGTTCGTTTGCTTGTTTATTTGTGTTGGTAGTGGTTACGTCGGTCACACAATATCATTTTTGGACATCAGCGTAAATAAACTTTTGAAAAAAGTTAACTTTTAGGCGATTGTAAGCTAATTTAAGTTCAACACAAAAAGTGTATTTCGCTCGCTAATTATATAACAGTGAAGTTTTTTTATTATTAATTTTATGCAGTGATTTCCTGCTCTTTTTATATTGTAACAAGTTTTTATAGTGTCACAAAAAACAGTTATCGATCACTTTTTATCGAAGTACATTATTTGTATATTAAGTTTGCTAAAAAATGTTGTACCGAGCAGTACCCGTGAGACTAAGGCATTAATGGGTTACCTGGGTTTTACGACTAAAAAAATTGGTTTGTTTATTCTCTTATTTAATTATATAACATCTTCGCAATATTGTACTAAATTCGCAAGTTTGGAGATACAGCTTTGAAAATTCAGCTCGAATTCAGCTATATGACCACATAAAACGTGTTTTTTCGAAATTGTGTTTTTAAAATTCTCAAGATTTGTCGCGATCCACTATGACCCACCTTAAGGAAATTTTGCACAGGTCTTCGAAATATACCCTTGTAGGTCTTGAAGATAGTATTTTTTAGTTCGTCGACAAATTTTAAATTTTATTTGTTTATTTTAATCTTGAAGAAAGGATTTTTCAAGTGGTATGTCAAAAGTACACTTTTTTTTCGTCCAATACTTAGTTTATTGTTTTTTATTAAGAAGTTGCGCTTTCAACTCGGATGCACCTTTTTTCAGAAGGACTGTCGGAAATGACGTCGTAATGGCCGAATTTCGAATATGTTCCCTTGAAATTTCCACAAAAACTTTGTAAAACATGTATATTTGGAATAACTATAAAATTTTGTATAAAATGTTTAATTTTTTTTATAAAAATAATACCTCGTTTTTTGAGATTCTATTCTAAAATTTTGCATACGTCCTTTTTACGCCAAGAAGCCATACAATCTGATCAAGACCTTGTACGAAAAACTTTTTTATTTAAGATAGAAGAATTTTATTTAAGAAGGAGATATCTTCACCACATTCTGTGTGGTTTATTTCTCGAGAAAGATCGGGCCACTATAGCTTAAAACTGCTATTCAAACTGACCAATCAAAATCAATATAAATACTTTTCCCTACCTTTTTTACCTTAATTTGACCTGAAGGTTGCAAAAGAGTCCCAAAACTCCTTTACAATTTTTCTTTCCTAAAATTCTAGCACATTTTGACAAAAACTCATGTTCTAAAGATTCAAAAATGTTTTCGGTTACTCTTTTCGTCAAAGCGGGTTTTTTATACAAGCGATTATTTTTGTTATTTTATTTTATTTTTTTTTTTGTTGACTTTGTGTCAATTAATTATGTATTGTTTATTAAATTGAGCTGCGGTAAGACACTATGTGCGAGTATTATATTTCGTCTGTGATAACGAATTTTATCAGTTGTTATCGCGTGCTATCGAAATGAGGTGGTTTGCCAAGTTTTTAAAGGCATGTTGAACACTCACATGGACTTCGTTTTAATAATGCACGATTTTTGAAGGTCTTTTCCACCATACTACCATAACTATGCTAGTGTGTGGCTTGAAAAAAATAAAAAATAAAAGACGGGGCGTATACGTGTTTTCCCTCTGCGAAAAATTAAAATTTGAGGGCGTTTGGCCTACGTGCGAACTTATTTTGTACGAATTTGTGTCTGCGTTGTAGTTTTAGATAAGCAAAGATGGAAATCTCACGAATCAAAGAGTTCAGCGTGTTGTGAAAAATATTAAATTTTTATTATATTTACACTACTTATTTATATAAATTATAAACACGCGTTGCCATAAATTTATTTAATTAAACGAAGGAATAAACAAAAATATTTACATTTATTTTATGGTAGTGCAAATGTTGTACCAACAAAAGCCGATTACGCTTCTGCTTCTGACCGAGCAGGCAATTGTTAAGCACACAAGATGGGAATCTGCTAAACGTATAATAGCCGTTAAAGAACACTTCAAGTCAAAGTTGGATTGCTTACTACGACCCTCATGCTGGTGCTAAACGTCTATCGATATATTTCTTGCGATATCAACACAAAGGTCCATAAAAATAGCATATATCAGCAAATGGAAAAATAATTTGGTGATTAATAACTTTTAAAAAATTTAGTGACTCATAAAAAAAATATCGACACATCAAATCAAACTGATATCATTTACTTCCTCTACTTGCTGGGATTTTCGCATTAGCAGTTCCACTGGCAAGCCTTGCTGGATTTTGAAAGCCCCTCAGAGCAGTACTTTATGATTACTGGTTAATCACTTTTAATTGTAAGCAATTTCTCGTTAATATTGCAATAAAACAATTACTATTGTCACTAATTTTAGATTTCGACTTTTAGCGTTACAGCTATCAGCAAATAATTACGCCGTTTTTGATTACACAATGAGAGTGATAAAAACAAAGAAAATTAATAATGAAGAAACATTTTCGAAAAAGTAATATTTCATTGGGTAGTCGAAAAAGTCTCTTCGTATTTTGTCAATAGATGTCGTTGCAGTCCTATATCTCCAGTGTTACCAATCACATTGCGTCATACCATATAGTGCTGGAAAAGTGAGATTTCAGGTATCATTTAAACAAAAAAAAATTCGGGGAGGCTGAAAAAAAGCTACAGCTGTTCAAAAACTACTGAAAATAATGAAGAAATACGCTACATTTTGAAATTTTTCTATAAAAAAGGGAGGAATGCCACGCAAGACTCTAATGAAATTTGTTAATTTTACGGAGACGATGCTGTATCAGTTCGTGAAGTTTGACTCGAAATACGAAATGACTTTTCCGACTACCCAACCTATCTATTAAATAATTTCACAACAGCTGCTCTATCTACATATGTATATATTCTTCAGCGTTATCATGAAACACTAGCCGAAAAACCCAATTTCTGATAAAGCATAATGTCTGACAGTTTGATAAAAACGCAGGTGTTTGGTGTAAACAAAAATATTATGAGCAAATGAGTAATTTTATCGAACTACTAAATTTGTTTGATAAAAGAAACATTGTTATAATTAATAAATGTAGATTTCCAAGCGACATAAATATATAGTCACAATCACAGTCGATGCGAAAAGTTGTTCTACTTTTTAGAAGGTTCGAGGTTATCTTTGCAGATTAAAATTACGATTTATAGCTTATCATATATGTATTGGGAACTTGAGTAGCAGTGCTATTCAGAAGCCGTTGTTTATTCCTATTTAGCCTCAACAGCAGCATTTGAGCCACTTAAGCTATTGGATAATAATTTCAACTTGCGTAAGGGAATTTCTTGTTTTAATTGTTATCTATTTTTATTGTGTTATTTACCTTATTTTTTATTTAATTATATTTCACTTTCACACCGCAAAGCATTTTGCTCATTTCTGCATGCTTAAAATTTTGCTATCATAAAGGACTCAATTCTAATCTAAACATTTTGACAAGTATGAATATATTTAAAACGAATTATCATGCGAAAAATTATGAAATATTGACGCAAATACTTAGTGATTACTGGCATGATTACTGTAAAGCGGCATGGGACATGCGACTATCTATACAGCAGGTGTCGGGGAAATTGATAGAATTGTATTGAAATGAAGCTTCGGGAAAGATAAACCAATTCGAACCACTTCGAGTGCCGATAATTACCAAAAAAGGATATGTTGTTTGTTTTCATAAAATGTTTTACACATTTATTACTTAGTGAACGACCCAATATGTTAGATTCAGATTTATTCTTGATTGTTACATTGCGTATATTAATATATTTAATATATATATATATTTCAATACGTCAATGTTAGTCAAGAAGAATTTAGCGCAAATGCGCATAGAAATTCATTTCAGTTGTCATTGGCGATTCCACGTCATCGCCTTTAAATTCTTCTGCAGAACAGTGAAGATTTCTCGCAGTTGTCGCGACTAATTTTCGTCATTAAACATTTATGTATTTGTTCTACAACTAATGATTTAACCAAGAATTCACGCTAAGTTGAATAATCCCATTTTCCAATGTAAGAATTTTAAAAGCAAACTTTTTGTTGTTGCGCATATAAAAATGGAAAATAAAAAGTCATGTAGAATTTCTAAAAATAATGAAAATGTCGTCTGCGTGTGCCTTGCGGTGTAAATATGTACATATAGCATACAAAAGTGCATATACAAGTAGTATAAAGTACGAGTATAGACAAGCTAGGCGTTGAAAAGGTTGTGACAGTGGTGAAAGCGGCAAACGCGGTGGGAAGCGAATGTTTCGTTTAGAAACATTTTTTTAGTATAAAATTATTTTATACATTTATAAAATATTATTATTATACTCAAAACAGAATATAGATCGTATAATATACAGTTCGTTCAACAAGAAAGCAAACGGCTTTTCTTATGAAATTTGAAAATTAAGTAGGCCTTGATTTCACTGCCGATTTGCAATGTAATTGCCGAAACAGACAGTTATAAGAAATGTGTTTCGTAAAAGCGAAACGTTTTGAAGCAGTTTTTTTTTTTTTGCTCCCTTCCTAAAGCTGCCAAGATGTTTCACTTGAGTGCGGGAAAATGTGGACGACTTTCCGAAAAGCGGTTTTGCAGAGCTACCCCAGAACAGGACGAATTGGTTGTAAAGGGCATTTTCGAATCTTGGCTTTCGATGTGGTCTATCCTTGAAAGCTGCAAAACAAATATTGACCACAAAGGATATAAATTTGCCTCTAAATACAATAAAAAACTACTTAACCGTCCTGTCACGCCGCTAAAGCCTTTAACAACTGCAAAACAAATGAAAAAAAACCGTCTAAAGTGGTCACACGGGGATAATGATTGAAGCCAGGTGGCCTTCATAGATCGAGGACTCATCGTGGAT